GGAGAATCATGAGAAGGAATAAGGAAACGGGGATAAATAATGGAAATAGGGAGATAAAAAAACAAAAGAGGCAAATAGGATAAAAAAAAAAAGTGGGGAGGGGAAAAATAGGAATAAGAACAAATAACGGAACGGAATTAGGGGAAAATGACAGAATGAGGAATTAATGAATGAGAAAGCAGATATCAATAATAAAGTAGAATGAGGAGAATAGAAGAGAAGGAGAAGAAGGGCAGAACGGGGAAAGGGTAAAGGAAAAAGAGGACGAGGAGGAGTAAATAGGCAGAAGGTGAAGGAAGAGAAGGACGAGGAACAGAGGAGGAGAGGGCAGGTGAAAGAGAAAGAGGAGGAAGAGAAGGAGAAAAGGGGGGCAGAGGAAAGAACGTAAGGACGAAATAAACAAACGATCTTGTATCTCTTGGAGGAGGGGTAGCGAGAAGGAGAGACGGAAAAAAATAGAAGGAAAGACTGAAGTAAACGAAAGAGTGACTGAGGGCGAGACGAACCGCCGGAGAGGAGAGAGCAGCCCGGAGGGGACGAGGGACGGCGCACGGAGGGCCGGACCGCCGCCGCGTGCAGACGTGGGGGCCAGCGATCTCAAGGAGCTATCTGGGGTCCTTGCTCCTCTAGGTCAATAACAAGATAATTGGTTCCCGCCGCCACTCTTTGTTTCGACAACAAACTTATAATTGCTTCCTCATTATAACGACCAATTACGCTTCGGGCGGGCGCGCGACGAACGCCCTGGCTGTGACAAAACAGCTCAATGTCGGCCTAAAATACCCTCTTCTCCACTCCCCTTCCTCCCGACCTTTCTTCTAGTTCGCTTCCTTCATTCCCCTCCCTTTCCCCTTACATCCTTCCTTTTCCCTTTCCTCCCTCATCACCCATCCCTGCTCCACTTACTCTTCTTCATTCTTCCTCATCCGCTCCCCTCCACTTCCCTCCTTATTCGCTCCCTTCCCCTCCCCTCCTCATCCCCTCCTGCCTCCCCCCCTCCACTCCCCTCCCCTCCCCTCCCCACACGAGCATGTGAGCAAACTTTTCCCCAGCAAGTTCCCAAATGAGGCGCGGCGGTCAGCTTGCGCTTCCGCCATCCAATTAAAATCACATTTAACAAAAGCGCATCAGTTGTTGCATCAGCCGAGTCTAAACTGACAAACAAATCAAGAGACAAATACTCCGATTTATTATTAGGCAACGGACAAAGTTAAGCGAACGATCGGGTAAAATAACTAAAGATAATATCAAGAGAAAAGCGAATTGATAAAACATAATGTAAAGGTAAAAAAAACAAAAAAAGCAAAGAAACAATAAACATAAGAACCAACTAATGAATTGGATTGGCTTCCTCTTACCTCCCCCCCCCCCTCTTTCTCCTCCTCCCTTTCCCTCTGCGTCTTTCGTCTTCCTTCCTTCACTCCTTTATTACTTTTTCTCTCCCTGCCTTCTTTTCTCCCTCTCTTATTTCCTCTCCGTCCCTCCTCCTCTCCCCC